TCCATCTTTGTTGTTTTCTTCGCCATCCTAATTCCTGCTCCCTAGGGCGAGAGCATGGACTTAAATATTGTTTTCGGAATCGCATCAACATATCATACATTTGTTCAGTAAACATGGCATTCTGTCTTCCCTTCCATCTTGCGTGCCTTTGCCCATGTCTTTCTTTTCTTTCTCTCTTTGCTCTTTGCATCCGCTTCCCGTTTGCCCATCGAATTATCGCACGCGCGCCCCGTGCCAGCCAGGCTGAGCGCTGCGGCCCGAGGCAGCTCAGGCTATTGCACTATGCCCGGACCGCGGTCAATAAAAAGCGACCATTATAGCATGTTTAAAACACGTAAGGCCATAATGGCCTGCCCATTGGATCCCATCCCATGATTTCTGTCTTTCTCTTTGCCTTCATTCTCTTTTTACCGCGAACTCTTCTTCGCTTGTATCCACACCCCCTACCCCGTATCATTATGTGTTTCCTACTTTCTAAAGTACATGTAGGACTTATTATGTTTCATTCTCCTTCCATTCACTTTTTCTTGACTTATAATTACCAGTATTTCAAATATACATTATAACACACACAACTCAACGTGATTTAGAGTGCTAGTTCCCATTTTGACATTCTAAAATATTTATCAAATCGATAGGGTACGCTGTTACTCAATGATTTTATATAATTATCGATAAAATAAACAAAACTCTGAAGTGGTCATAAATGTCCTTTCCATTCCAAAAAAAAAAATCTCCTATTTTTAAACTCCGTGCACAAATAGTTGACTCCTTTCCATTTCCCCCTACCCCACTCCCCCCCCCCCCCCCCCCCCCCCCCCCCCCCCTTCCGATCCGACTTCACTTTCCCCTTATTTGGTCGTCAACCCATGGGCTATGTATACAGATTAGCTCGTAGAAGGACAATACGCGCTCACACTTTCACGAGTCTGCGCTAATTGCGCTTCTTTCCGTGTACAAAACCATCAGCAGCAAAATGAAGAGAAAACCAATTTGAATATAGCGAACTACATACCGATTATAAACTGAAAGATTAACAGGTAGCCGCTATAATTCTAGTCTTGTCCATGTGTTGTCTTCTACATTCCCCCATTTTCATTCTTAAAATTTTCTTCACGCATTGCTTTTTAAATTAGCATCTTGCCGCTAAGTTTCCCCCGATTTCACACCCCTTTTCAATCAATTACAATATTTGCTTGAAGTTAGTGCACACTTCATGGTTGTTAGGCCACACTGTCAAGCCTGAAGATCGCTTACTTAGGCTAACGTTGTTAAATTTGTTCAGCGAATTTAGATTATACTTCAAAACGGTCTTTGTGACCGCATGCTTCATAAGTGAAAAACAATAACAGTCAACCAAAAGCACTAAGTCGTGCAGATGACATGTTAATATTTGGACGTTTATCCCAATTTCTTGAAAAACAATCAGTGTTTATTTATTTACGTCATGTTCTAAACGTGGTTAATACGTTATGGATATCAGGTATCGATTTTACAATTTTTTTTATTTTCAGTAGCACTCTCCTTTTTATTTACACAACAATAACATTACAAGAGATTGAGCATAATGATCATTTGGTCAATCATTCGTCTAAAAAATAATGGCATTGAGGTGGTTTTAATCGCAATGACATTATAAAAGAACAATTAAATATTCTCCAAACACAAGCATAAAATATACTGTTATTGTTGCTGCTATGTCAGGCAGTTATCGAGAAAATTGTTTTTAAAAATACGGATCCATACTCCTTCCGTCATGTCTGTAACAAAAACGACGCAGACCCATCTTCTATTGCAGGGGTGTTTGGAATGAATGAAGGCAATCAATGCATGCGCCTGTGGTTCAACACAATATTAACACTTTTGTTGTTGTTGTTTTTATTTCCGAAATCAGATAGAAATATTATACATAGTAAAAAAAATACAAAGTAAAATGTTTATACATGTACATAGACAAAAATCGGTGGATAGCCCAATTCAGCAGTGTTTATAGAACACTACTGTTCTTCCTTGGGGTCCTTACATAAGGCTTTAAAAAAGAGTTGTTGTATTGCCCTTTGCGAACGATCCAAATATATTTAAATCTACGGTCAGCTTTTTACTTCAATTTGTTTTTGTAGCGTATTTTTGGATAAAAATGTTTAATGAATGTGTATAAAAGCATTAAAAACTTTAAAATATCAGCCCAAAGAGGCAAACAAAAAAAACAAAAAAGAAAGGCAAAACAACAACTTTTATATACCGTAGGCTTGCGGGGGCACCATGTGAGAGAGAGGGAGGATTGAGGAGTCCTGAAAAGGACTCTCGGTAATCTTTCTTGAGGGTGTGTAGTCCTGAAAAGGACTGTTGGTGTAGTCTTGAAAAAGAATGTTGGTTATCTTTCTTTAATAGCTTATATGATGGGTGGTGGGAGTGGCTCGACGTTTCGAACAGGTTGACTATCCGTTGTCAGGAGCAGCATCTGACATCTTTTTTGTTTAGGCCTTATGCATTCACCTTCTACCTCTTCATAAGGCGTGTCAGAAGCCCACCAGTCGCTGACGGCAATCCTACGTCAGCAAAATGACGCCTCGTTTTCGGCATGCAACAACCGGCTTTAGCGTACTCATTTGGCCAAATCAAATCTGAACTGGGACATGCGTTATGAACGGGTCGGTTTTCAATTCATCTGTTGATGATCCTGAGGCATTGTTTCATTAATTACGCCTCTATTGTCTCAACGCCGTGGGGCGCGCGCGACGCTGAGTTTGCATACCTAGTCTTGTTCGACCTTATAAGCATTGGATCGCTGCCTAACACCGAACTGAAGGGTTTAATTATCCGTAGTGAATTAAGCAAATCAATTGCAAACAACCGTACCCCGCTGACGTGTTTGCACTGCGACGCTATGTTGTCATGCCAGACAAATACCTGTTGCTTGCAAGCCTAAATATTTGATGATGTTTAACTAAGAAGGCAATGAATATCATATCACGCAAGAAATAAAGTAAGTATCCACTATAATGAGATAAAAGTAGACGGGGGGGGGGGGGTTCCACTCTCGACAGGCGTGAGGAGTATAATTTTAACAATTTCAGGAGAGAAGCGTTGTTTTCTAGTAATCTTTACAAAGCATGAACGGGCCGATGAGAAAATAAGATTATAGTGTAGAATCGTGACAGGACGTCCACGCAACGTATTGAATGAACAAGAGAAGGTGACAAGAGTTTAAAGAAGAGATTATGTTGGAAGTGTAGAAACTGATATTAGCCGATGAGCAAATACAGCCAGGTCCTTTTGCAATTTAACACGTTGCAATATTGAATGGGAGCTTTAAAGACATCCCAAGGCAAATCTTACGGGGCATAATGATAAGTGACATATCGTTCATGAATTAGGCAAAAATTGAACAAAAAGAATTTAACTGCATCTTTGTTGTTGCTGTTCATGCTAACACACAGAGGATAGTTATGTCATTGCTACCTACCAAAAATGGGACTCGGACTATTAAAATGTCTGTAAATATATACTATCGGTGATTTGGAGCGAGTTTAAACACCTCGATCTATTATTCAGTACGACAACAATTATTTGCAGAAACACGATGGACAATTCTTTGTTCTCTTCATGTATGTTGCCGCGGTGTGGTCGTCATTCTTTTAATAGGGACTTTTAGAATTGTCGAACGACAACGTGGATTGCTACGATCGACGTACTTGCAATGCACTGCCTTGAATGAACGTCACACGTTTCAGTCCACGCAAATCTAAAAGTCCCTATTATACTTTGTTTGGCACAGAATGAAATTTGATCCTACGGATTATGACTGCAAGATGTCAACTTGGTAACAAGATAGACATCTGGATATGATTATTATGCGATCAATAACAACATGTGACAGAGAATCAACTGTGCATTGGAATGATTACCACGCCGTATGCAATCGATAAGGATGCTTGGGGCTGTACAACAATGGTGTTTCGTACAAAGTAGCCTTATTTCGTAGGCCAACTTGGCGTTCTAGGGCGTCCTGTTTACTACATCGTCTATTGAGGGTCTTTACGTCAAATAGTTTGAATTCACACCTTTCTGACTGTAAGCAGATGACATGCTTTCTCTTCTGCACTCTATATAACAAATGTTTAATTGTCTTAATTGTCATCATTTTTTCTCGCAGGGCCCCATGTGAGACCAATTGATGTTGAAGTAGGCTATTAACCTGTTAATAAAAAAATAAAAAAAATAAAAAAAATAAACGAATAAATATTTAAATAAGAAAAAGCGTAAGTATGGTAAGACTAAACAACTAGACGAGTTATTTTTCTGTAAGATTTTTACGAAATTATATGCTTACAGATTATATGTTGATGTATTTATATGTTTGATGTGAAGAAGTGAAGTTTTTTTCTAATTTGTTTTATTTCATGCAACTATCTATTGATTTTACATCATTTAATCTAATAAAACATGAGTCAAGAAAGCCTCTTTTTCCGAACAGTGTAACAGACTCGATTCAATTAGTATTTTTAACCATCTCAATATTTTGTTATTGCACGAATAACAAAAAAAAACCTGCTTTTCAGACTCAACTATGGCAATGTTTTTATAACGATACATGATTAATCAAAATAAATTACGGACAATTTGATTGTGAAGAAAAGCATTGGTGGAATCGAGGCAAGCAGGCTTTGTATCATAGACAATTTTAAATTCGTTTAAGGAATGGAACCTATTGTCATGATGCTGCACTCGGTGTTGTGCCTTGATGAAGACTGAGGTCCGAATGATGTTGCGAGTGACACCAATAATGCAGGGCCGAGGTGAGGATGTATATCCCAGGATGAAGGTCGTGTTCTGGAGGTGATGAATGGAAGCAGAAGCCACACCCTCTTTTACGAAAGGCAAGTGGGTTTCCACCAATCAGCGAGCGCGATTGTGCGAGCTCTTAAAGGTCTGCCCGCGTTAAATGGCGAATTCTTATCGACCCGACTTAATCTCATTAGCCGACCAAGGGGCCTGCATCGTCGCGTGCGTCGCTCGTGCCTAAACAATGAAGCAATACGAGTTGCCTTGCCTTTGTCGTTCTCCTCGCCCTGGAGTGCCTTATAAGTGATGTCATTCTTAAAAGGCGCTCTTATTTAAAGGCTGGGCATGTGTACACCTCTCTTAGAGCAGCACTTCTCCGTCTGTTAGTCCACCTCATCGGCCGAGGCTCCGCGGCATCGCTTGAACTTGAAGACTTGGAGGACGAGTGGAGTGAGAGCGCACACACACGCGCGTTCATTCGCCTGACTTTCTTATTCCGTGTCTATTACCGTCTGCGTCGACTTCTCTCAATATCCCGCCGATATTGGGCATCCAAAGCCAGTCACTGCCCTGGTTTTCGAGTCTCGCAGACCCTTCTCCCTCCTGCCGACCACTTGACATCAAGTGCATCACAAACTGGCGGCTAGCACCTCATTAGAGGACAGACTCAAAAGAGGTGAGATATGATCAAACATCATTAAACACCGACAAAATCAGAAACTCATTTCAATTCATGTTCATATTTCGTTCTTCTGATATTGCCTGAGTTGCAGCTTAAGCTTAAAAACACGACATGACCTGCCATCAGCTACCATTTCTCCAACTTGAGTGATAGCCTATTTCTACAACGCTCCGTCAAGCACTACATAATTTCTCGGCACCCATCAACTCAATACTCTCACCGTCGGTTTTTATCTGCGTTATCTTCCCGTCGTAAATTCTATCCCGTGACAGCTATAAGCGAGGTAGCTCGAGCAGCGAGACGAGCAATTTACTCTCCGCCGACGACCTGGGCTCTCGTGCTCTCGCGGGACTCTGTATTGCTTGATGGATTAGCGAAGACGTACTTAGAGCACCGCTTGCCACCTGCCGGTATCTTCGTATCCTATCAGCATTCCTTGGATCGTGGTTCTAACTCACTCCGCACACTCCACTACCCCCTTAAACCCACCTTGTCAAGAAACCTTCCAGCATTGTAGAGGAGCCATGGACGTTGTGAAGATTCATCCATCTTTGTGAAAATGCTTCAATTATGGTGTCTCAGCTGAAAAGTGACATTTTCATGTGATACATATCAGTAAATGAGCGATCACTACTTGTTCATGACTGCGTACATTGCACCCGTGAACCTGTCTCCTCACCAACCATACACTGCTAGCTACGGTAGATGTTGAAGTAGTATGTGCAAGAAAGAGCTCGCCAACAGCCACAACCCGCTGTGACGTGTAAGTGCCTCGATGATTTTATGACATGATAACGAACATTTGTTGGGCCTGATGATGAATATCTAAACAAAACGGCCGGGCTTTACTCAGTAAAAAAAAAATCGTGCTTCCTGACATGTAGTATTAGTGACTGAGTATTACGCAAGAATGAAAACTGCTTTTTGATGACATTGTTTCGAACAAATCGTGAGATTAACCTAATTTCTGCAATAAATTTCAAATAAGTATCGAAGTAAAGACAGGCCTCGGGACACCCGAATTGCACACCTAACATAATACGTCGTCATCGTCGTCATCGTCATCCAAAGTGTCTTCTAGGCGGTAACCATCCTGCCTGACATTCGCCGAGATGCCTCGCTCGTTCCTTGTAAAGAAGACCAAATTCACATCTTGTTCGGCGCTATGCCCCCGGGAACTTGACCCTTACTATCCCGCTAGCCCGGGCAGCCCTACCCTTCCTCATCATGGAGTAAGCGTCACCATCAACAATGGTATGTATACCACCATGTCATAAATTCTAATTAGATCTATTACGATCGCTACGACTTTCGAGAAACCACCCCAAGGGCCTTCTTAAGACCTTATCGTATTGCCCGTAGAAATCACGTATCATGTCAGTGTACTGTTCCCACATTTTCAAGGAGTGTCGTACAAGGCTATTGAAACTAACTTGCGATGATTTTTCGAAAGTCTTGGCGATCGTGCTTTCTATCAATGTTGCCCTTTTTCCTTTCATTTGCTTTTTTTTTATTTGCGTAATTTCCCAAATCAGTCGTACCGTGCTATTTTGTTTTCTTTCTGTTAATCACTTTGTTTCTCTTGTACACATACTTTACCAAGAAAATTCTTTTTTTTCCATTTCTATTTCCATTTCTATTTCCGAGGCTATTAACATTATTAAAGTTAGACAAAAAGCAGTTCTGCCCATGGCATTAAATTAAGATGCATTTGACTATTTAAAATCGATTTTCTGCAACATAGGAATACTATCACATTAATATATAATTTACTGGGCATCAACTGAATTTGTTTACTTGTAATAAAACAACAGCAATGTGGGTGGTCTACAGTCATTAACCAGATTTACATATAAAATAATGAAGTAAATTTGAAATATCAACAACTTCGAAAACCTTTCTGTCAATAATGGAGCTACGAGTGATGGGAACTTTTCAGACTAGGTAGACCTTTACGAAGCTAATGTTAGGAGGGAATTATGAATACTAATATTGTTTCCATTTAATTCATATTATTGTAAGTACATATGTAGCATTGTGTATGTTTTTCTCTGTTCAATCAGTTCAATATCATAAAGCTATTTTCACAAAATGCTGAAGGCCATAAGCTATTGTACGGTTGCAGAAAAAATAAACAAACTCGCTATATCTCTGAGATATTACTTTTTAATATGCCCCCATTATAACAACACATGAGGGGGTGAAGTATGTTCGCGTAACATTGTTAACTGTACAATATCATGAGATGACAAATTTAGTAAACCTAAATTATATTTCAAGCATAATAGTATCGTTTACGTTATTTAGCAGAATAGAAATTTGAAATGACGGTTATTTCCTATACAGCAATATGGAATACGATGAAATGAGGATCTTTGTATGTCCGTGCTTTATCAAATTCATCTTGTATAATCATCTTTCTTTTTTAAAAGAAATAATGATACTCAATGATTAGCATAGATCAAATAACTAAAAAATGAAAGCCGATATAAGAACGGGAAAGAATTGGTGGGCTTGTCAAAATGTCCAATACTCAAAGCAGTAGAAACATTAACACCACTCTCCATGGTCTCTCTTGTTTATCTCAATCTTATTTCATGTATGTATGCCGCTCAACTAACTTGAATAGAATCAAGAATTCTACTACACTTTAGATATTTTGTTCTTGTACTGTTGTCATACGAAATCGTTGATAACAGATAATAAATAACGGTATTGTGCGCTTCGAAGACACTACATGTTTATGCACACTACGCCTCTTCTTCATATTTTAAATGAGATTCACTTTTTCTAAATAAGATTAAATATCTAATTAGACACTAAAATCATAATTCGTAAATAGCTGTCATATACACTCACTTGAATAGAACCAAGAATTCTACTACACTTAAGATATTTTGTTCTTGTACTGTTGTCATACGAAATCGTGGATAATAGATAATTAATAACGGTATTGTGCATTTCGAAGACACTACATGTTTGTTTACATCAAGCCTCTTCTTAAAATGATAAATGAGATTTACTCTTTCTAAATATGATTAAATATCTAATTCGAAACTTCATGTAGATAAAGAAAAAACTTTAACATTTATCTTGCAATTATGTGCAGCGATGAAGTATAATTAGATTTGGCAGTCAAAGACCGATGTGAATGAGCCATATTAAATGCATGCACTTTGAGTCAATGTGACTTTCAAGTTTTAGGAAAGTGCGATTGGTAATTGACAATTACTACACAAAATTATTTGATTTATCTAAAGAATACTATATGAATGTTAAAACAAATTAAACAGAGTTACGAGGGTCATCATTCTTCTCTTTGCCATGTTATCTATCAAAAGGTTACCGTTTAAATCAATAAATAGCTATACAACGAAAGGTTGAATGAGTCGGGCAATTAACTACAAGTCGTGGATAATTAACAGGTTAGGGCTCACCTTTTGCCATCTGTTACGTGTTTAATTATTACTTTACACTGCCCCTTCTTTCCCCTGCTCTCATGCTTTTACAACCATCGCGATAAGAATTGACATCTTTTCCGACTCAAAGAGCGTATGACAATGAATCACATTCATAGCCTTCCCTACTCCGTGCCAAATCGTGATTTTCCTGCCCCTAAATGAGAAGTCAACGATAACACAAATTGGCACGTACGATCCATAAGCAAATAAAAAGCTCTCCTTCCTTCGCCCGTTGACGGGGAAAGTGAGAGGAGTAAAAGGGAAATAAAAGGAAAAATGCATTATTAATCAAAAATTAGCACCCGAAATAATTCACCTGTGCGCTCGCCAGCTCAAGAGGACCTCTATCAGACGTCTTATCTCGCCCTTGGCGCGTTAAGTTGAGTGCAGTAATCAAATTTAACAATTGGGGGAAGTTTTTTCTTTCTTTCTTGGATAGAATCTCGAGGTTTGTTACCGAGTAAGGCATGAAAACAGAGGGATCGTTGGTTTGATAATAGCCTTTAGCACGATCAACCATAGCATCGGATGGAGACAGTTTTAATTCTGTAGCACTCTTATTTTATTGAATGAATTAGGGGGCAAAGATCTGACGCATTTAAAAGTAATGGAAAAATAAAGTAATACAATAGATTTTGTATGTATTGAAGTCATTCCTGGTGTCAAAAAACATTTGTTAATGTACACTTTTAAAAAAAAACTCTCTTTCAGTACACATGTGAATGATCTTATCTCCACAAATAATAGACATTTGTCGATAAGGACATGATGACACTGTTGTGCTCGGACAGCAAGTTCCTTTGAATTTATTCCCTTTTTACCGATTTTAAATATTTTTTTTATATAATTATGTAACTAGGATAAATTTCATCTGTTAACCTGTTTTGAGTTGCATTTCGTCAACATAAAAAAAATAGATGCAATGCTTGATAATCATGAATTTAGTTTAATGGACTGCATTGGCGACTCTATATGTATTAATCTCGATGATATTCACATGAAGTTAGTGCAAGATTTTATGACTGTTAGATATAGAATGACAGTAACTCAGCATATAGGAATTGAATAGAATACCACCAAGGGTGCATAAGAGGGACATAATGAATAATGAATTATAATGCAATCTTGGACGAACTCATCTATACCCCCAACGATCTTCTGAGGAGGTGAGAAAGGGTAAATAAATATAACCTCGCATCTATTCGACAACCACTTAAAATAATCATATCTTGTTTTGCCTGTCATGAATAAACTGAATATCAACAGGTACTGATGGCTTTGAGTACGCCAGGTTTTTTTTCTTCTCCATATTTGTGACCTGTATAAGAAGGGCGGATAAATAATCATGAAAGTATATATAGGTCAAACTTAAGACCAAATGTTTTGTTATCAAAACTCTTCAAACACTCTAGTTTTCCATAATAATCATGTGAATGAAAATAATTGAATATGCAATATCTCTTTTGCGATACTTGAATGGAAAAGTGCAGAAAATATATTTCAATTGTTTGTTTCTTCAACTAAATTCCTACTCTGAAAATGCGTTCCGTTTCAAGTGACCATATCGTCGAAGACATAACTGAATTTATATTATTGTCCAATTTTACGCGAGTGTATATTTCACTGTTGATGAAAAATTCAGAAGATGGTTAAACATTGTTTTCAAAGAAACCTCGAAACCACTCTGACCGACCCCATAGAAGAGGGGTTACACACACACTTGTCATATCACGTCTTTCACGTGGTGTGTGAGTATATAACAAGTCTAGTGCCTCCTTCAATGCCAACAGCAAAAGAGGCGTACCGGACTACAAGTCCGTATAGGGGAAGAGTGGAATAATTATCGTGTTTTCATCAAATTTCGAGGACAGGGGTTCTATACGCCCAAAGGGTATTGAAGTTTTATAGCTCGAAGATGGCAAGTGTTAGTGAAAGATTTGTTCTTGGACGTTGTTAAAAAAAAAAACAATTTTTCCTGTCAGTATATGTTTTTTTAAAGACAATTTCTGTACATAACTGTACAATTTACCATCTGACAGCAGATCGCTATAGTAAAGACGCAATGAATTTCATACGATTCACCATCCCAGCTTGCAAGTTAAGAATATGATTATATGATGATTAAACTAAATTGTATCAAAAACATATTGGCAACTTATATCAGCTATCTTCACTAACTTATATCAGTGTCTCATGAATCATTTCATTGTCCTTATCATCTGGAAAGTGTATCTAATACATTATGGAGATAGAATTATGAATGAACCAGAATCGGTGCCAATCTCATATTCTGGCAGATATATATCAGTCAGTATTCGTTTTACGAGCAGTAACAGTCTATAATTTCCCAACATTTGTAACAGAATCTGCTAGACTAGGCATCCATAATCCTATATCATCGCTCAACAACGCTGTTGCTTTGTTTCATCATGATCGAAACAGATTCCGCCCTTCTCTTGTTCTTGTTATCTCTATAATCATCTGAAAGACGTGATATAAAGGGCATCCAAGTTACCCATCTCCTCCCACGCCAGTCTCCTCATGTAAATCAGCCTTCTCACAAGCTCGCTCCCGACACGGCACGGTTGAATTCAACAAGTAGTCTGCTTTTAATGGCACTTCACTCTGTTCATTCGATCTTCCTCCTTTTCCCGCCAAAAACCGCCTCCAGGCAAATCAGACGAGAGATATGTAACCCAAGATGGGGCTCCTATTTTTTTTCGCGCCCCAAAAAACCTCTCCGTGCTCTCATCAACGGCATTCTCAGCCGCAAGGCTCGATTCTTATCATTTC